ACATGAGTTAATGTAACTTTTACAAATACGGTGCTGCAGGAAAATACACCACAAAGAGTACACTGTCACATACCTACAACAACTTGAAATACTTTAGTGGACCCAAAAGCATATTTTGAGCCTTTTCCTTTCATGTTCATCGAAGCCATAACTTAATTATTCGTCAATCTAAAAATGAATTGGAAATATTGATAATAGTTCCCAATAGCATGAAAGGTGACTTTCAATCTACAATATGTAAGAACACCAGCACACTTTAATTGTGTTGTCATACTTTCATGGCTATTTACCTGTGCATCACATTGTGGACATTCACTCTGATGGTCAGTCCTCCAACATCAACAATTCTTGATAACTGCAAAACAATGGTCATCCATATCACAGCTAAAGCAGGTTATGTGAGTATTGGGCATACATGCTAATTGAGTCAGACGTTGAGTAATAGAGCATGCACATATATTTACAGCTGAGTCAAGATATAAGTTTAAAAAATCATTGGTTAATAAACTTTCTCGGTTTACGAACAACTGAAATCCTCTAGAGCACGCTCATACTTTTGTTCTTCATACATCGAAAAATTGCCTGAATTAAATGCGTTGGTCAATTCAAGAATTTGTAGGCAGGTTCAAAATTATGCTTACCAGGGTCATCTCTAGTGTCTTTATCAGCAAGACTGGCATCTAAGTTTATTTTAAAAATTACTTCGCCAATGAACTCGTATAAGATGAGTCGTTTTTTAAGCTATTTAAAGCATGTGTAGTCGTGTTTTATCACATATAAAACACTCCGCTACGCGTCGTGTTTTATATGTGATAAAACACTCCTACACATGCTTTAAATAGTACTTACAGAGTATGGTATATATATTTACAAAATAATGGTTTAATATTACAAAAACGGTTACATAGTTTGAAAGAACAAATGAATAGAAAGAAAGGAAAACAACTTATCAGTGACTAGCTAATAAGTAAAAATTAATGTATGGTTAGTATAGTTAAGGTTAATATTACATAACTAAAATAACTCAAGAGGGGTAGATCTAATATTAGCATTAAGGACAGGGTTAAGTTGAGATATTAATAGGCTTTCACGGATAAGAAGATCCAACTCAGAAGTGCCTTATGATAGGATTAATCCTATCATCAGGCACTTCTGAGTGGGATCTTCTTACCTGTGAAAGCCTATTAATACTCTCAACTTAACCCTGTCCTTAATGCTAATATTAGGTCTACCCCTCTTGAGTTATTTTAGTTATGTAATATTAACCTTAACTATACTAACCATACATTAATCTTTACTTATTAACTAGTCACTGATAAGTTGTTTTCCTTTCTTTCTATTCATTTGTTCTTTCAAACTATGTAACCGTTTTTGTAATATTAAACCATTATTTTGTAAATATATTTAAAAAACTCATTAATAATTCAGGAGCAAAACACAAAGAAAAATCATAAGCATGTCGTATCTTTATATGTGATAAAAAATCATGTTAATTTACATAAACTTTAGCTTTGATTTTCTTGGTTCAGACAAAGTTTATTTTAAAAATTACTTTGCTAATTGTACTCATCAGAAGATGGGTCGTTTTTTATGCCATTTAAAGCACTTGTAGTCATGTTTTATCAGATATAAAACACTCCTACGCGTGCTTTAAATAGTACATACCATACCCTGTAAATTCATTTAGATTGCTCTGAAGATGTTGTATTGTAAACAATGAAACGTTAGCTAATAAATGTTTTACTTTTATTATGTTTGGATTTAAAGTTATTTGCTGGGCTCTGCTCTTTATCTTTAGACTTCTTTGTCACAAAGTGACGAAACTACTCGGATAATTTTCAAATCTTTTTCAAGATCAAAACGTTCTGGTCAACCAAATAATAAACTAATGGGATATTTTGCGCGAGCCTTCTTCTATCTTTGATCGTCGATCTGACTTTCACATGTTCCTATTTTATCTCAGGTGAACAATATATTGATGTGGAATATTAATAACCTACTGGCTGAGAGTGAGGGCAGTACGGGAAAATATTAAACCAAGATCTTGCTGCTGTCTTGACTGAGCAATAGTTAGGTCAATATGGCAAGACCCAGGTTTGATATTTCCCCGTACTGCCCAAACAGTCGAAGACAGCAAGTCTTTTTATTACATGACATTATATACGATTGTTAAAAAATGAAAAAAGTCATGCGAGGGCAAAGTACAAAGTCCGAAACATTTGCAAAAACAAAAGAAACTTATCTCTTGGTTATAGTGAAACTACTCTACAGCACATCATGGCCAGAAATTGCGGACATTGCTACTGAGCATGCTTGGACTATACTATCAAACATGGCCGCCAACGCTGTAATAGAAATTATAGGAGTGTAAACTAAAAATTAAAAATATAGCTATTGGTATCCTTTGTAACGAATTTGCACATCTCGAGTTTGCTTCGGAATAGCCGTCATACTTAGATGATGCTACAATTATTTTATCCATATCTCACCTTTAGTATGTTCCATTTTAAAACTGCTTTTAGCAATACTTTGGCTAGTAGAAACTATATCATTTTGTCTAAATTTGCCCATTTAGCGATGTTTTCATGCCGCCGTGCATCGTTCTTTTACGTTCTTGGCAACATTTGCACATCTCGGGTCATTTACAGCACATTTTGAAGAGTTACTCTTTGGTTGACTTGTTCTGTTTGTGTAATGAACATTGTGAATTTTAGTTGAAGCTGTGACAGCAAATTTTCATGGCAATAATTTTCATGGCACAACGAGATTGCATATAAACAAGGCCAATTTTAAAAATGAATCCTTCGAGTAAACTTGCCATGTTTAGTATCAAAATAAAGCTTAGGAACCGCGCTATTCGCATATATAAACAGAGGAGGCCTGTGCGTATACCCTGGGGGCAAAAACGCGCGAGAATTTTACTTCCGGTTTTGGTGATAGTGGGAAATTCCGGGAATATGAATATTTAAAAGCGATGTCTGACGTTCTGAAAGCATTGGATTTACATAAATTTGATCAAAAGATTTCCTTTTCAACTGAAAAATGCCTTACTTATGTAAGGCGAGCTAGTGTTCAACAGGAGAACGTTGCTTTGACTGTTGATATCCCATACAAGTACCTAGAGCACTGGTATGACTTGAAGCAAGATGTCAAACTTGCTGGGTGTTCGTACGTTGAAATATTGAACGCATTTGTATCGCAGAATGGCATCGAGATAAAGCTAGATTGTGAAAGAATTGATAGCGCTCTACATAAATATTGTGGACTAGTTAAAAGCAAAGGTAGACATCTGCGTGGCCGTGCAAGAGACATGCACTTGTCAAAATCTAAAAATATTTCAGTTTTCCAGAAGGAAATTGCAAGGGTGTCTGAGGCGAACGAGGCACTAACAACTGCACATGCAGTTCAGCATACCTTGGCCCAAGAGAATGATGATTTTCAGCAAGCGATATAAGGAACTATTGAGCGAGTTCGAAACATTACAGCGAACCAAGGAACAAACTGAAAAAGAACTACAATGTGTGAAAAAGGATTATGAGGAGGAGACAAACATAAATAAAGAACTCAGAGATTACATTGAGAAAATTGGAATCCCAAACAAATATTGTAAGAACACTGGAAAAGATATACCAGATGTAGGGAAAAGACAACAATGCCGCAAACTAAAGGACTTGAAAACACAAGTTGAAAGAAGTCTGTGGTTTGCTGAAACATATGGATTAAATTTGGAATCCTTAAAATTACTTGACAATGATGGTGCTGATTATGTATTGGAATTTAAAGACAAGCCACCAAAGAGGAATTTCAAAGATTTACCTGAAGCTGAACAGAAAAAAATTAAAGAGGTCCTTTTGATCCAGGACAAGTTTTGTATAGGTGAAGCTGCATACCATGAACTGACCATGATTCCAGCAGGTGAGACGCTGCCCCAGTCCTATCTTGTTAAGCAGTGCAAGGATTCTTTAAATCAGCTGTGTCACATTGAGCGGACACCAGGGAAAAATGAAGGTGCCCAGGTCAACTTTGATGATGCACTCAGGAAAGCAATCCAAAAGCATGCAAGTTCATTAGTTGATAACTCACTATCAATGTTTTGTTTGTGTGCCATTGTACAGTATGTTAACTTAAAATATAATTATAGGAAAAATTTTACCTGCAATTTTATTTCACTTTTTAATAGATGAGAACCTGCACAGCCAATGGTACAAGTCCTCCTCCAAGATATCGTATCAAACTAAGTGGAGATGGTGCTAAAATGACCAGGCTCACTGGCTTTGTAGTAATATCATTTTCAGTTTTGGATGCTGGAGATGCTGTAATGTCTCCCAAAGGTTAGCTTGCATACAACTGGTCTTTTATCCCTATAAATTATCATATTTCTAAATTAGGCACAGTGGGAATTAAATGTCTAGTAACTGCAATGTTTCTCACCACGCCCTGCCTTGTTATTTTAAATGTCAAATGTATTTCATGTGAATTCATGGTTGTATGATCATTGTACGGTAACAGCTTTGTTACACATTTAATCAACTTTTATTAAAAGTTTTAGGAATTATTGAGCACTGGTAATGTTACCCCCCTTGCTCATCACCCTAAGTGTATTGGTGTCCATCACTGCTGTTTAGTTGGGTACCGGTACTTGGGCATGGGCACTTGGGTAATGTATACCACAATCCATTCTGTACCTTACTTTGATATATAAACTTAACTTTGCTTTCCAGGAAATCACACCATTGCTGTGATAAAGGGAAAGGAGTGCTATGAAACACTGCAGTCCTCATGTAGTAAAATATTCAGTGATGTTAACAAAATTGTGGAAACTGGTGTGCTAGAACTCGATGACGATTTGATCCCAATTGATATGTACTTGGGTGGAGACTACAAGGTGTGGCATTCTTATTAAGGATTTTGAGAATGTATGATATGTTTATAAATACTCTAGTACCGTATACAAAAAAAAATTGAGCATTTATTGAAATTTTTCATTTCTTCACAGTTTCTTTTATTACTCATGGGTATGAAAGGAGCAATCTCTGATTATGCCTGTATCTGGTGTAAAATCCACAAGATGCTAAGGTATGAAATATTGAAATCAAATATACATTATAAATTATAAATTATAGTAGCACAATTTTTCACAATACTGACTCATACCAGTTTCACTATACCTTTCCATGTCTCTTGTTAACCATTACATTAAGCCACAATGTGTCATGCTATATTACTTTGTTCTTCCTGCCTTATCCATGCTAGTCTATGGAAAGGTGTTGCCATGCTGGGTGTTATTGTCATAAATTTCTATGAAAGTTTTGCATATTTATGTCCACTATAGATATGATATGACAAAACCTCAAGATTTTTACTGGATGGCAGATATTAAGCGAACATTAGAAGACATCAGAAAATGTTGCTTAAAGAGGCAGTTTTCTTGTGATCACCCACCCTTGCTCAATATACCGCTGGAGAATATTGTTCTTGATGAGTTGTACTTAATGCTTAGGATTACAGGTAAATATACAGCCCCTCCTCCCCTGTGGTGCCTAAACACATAATTCCTAATATTTTTAAGTTAAACTCCTCAAATAGAAAACTTGTGTCCCCCCCCCCAAACCAAACAAAAAAAGAGAAATATATATTCACCTTCCTTGTCAAATGAAACTATACAGACATTAGGAAGTCTATATTTTTAACAGATAAACTCACTAACAATTTAATTACCGAGGCGCTCAGCAGGGATAAGAAGGACAATTTGAATAAGGCACCATGCAATCGAACTTCAACTCATCTGGACAACTTAGTGAACGCCATTCGTAGTTGTGGCATCTCATTCAATGTGTGGGAAAAGCCAGATGCAGATGGTCGAGGAAGTGGAATCTATGATTTCACCAGCCTAATGGGCACAGACAAGAAGATAATGCTTGAAAAGTTGCCATCCAAACTAGATGGTGTTGTCACTCCTGCTACATGTGATACAGTTATAAGACTTTGGAAGGTACAGTATTCCCACAAGGTATATTTTTATGCAAGAAGATTCAGTTTTGCAGTCCTGTGCATACAGTCAAAGACTGTGGGGTCGCTTGGCAGATATTTGCCATGGTCTAGGTAGCTGTTAGATTGTGCGCACTATGAAACCTCATCTGCTGCCCATGTAGGCAAATTAACAAAAGGTGCTTGCCAAATTTTATTTTTATTACTTTAATAGGATTTTAATCACATCTATAAAGACTGCATTAATATGAAAGCGCCTACAGATTTGGACATTAACACCTATTTTGCCAAGCAGAGGCA